TAATCTGCTCGTATGGGATTGACGGAGTGGGTGCAAACACATTTTCCAATGTATATTTGGGACAGCCATGACGGCCCCCTCATTTTTCTTGCATACTAATGAGTTTCCTTCCTTGCGTTCTGCTGTCCTTAGTGTGGGCGTTCTGCGGCTTGAGCTGGAAAATTTTTGTCGGAGTGCTCAAGATTGATCATCCAATATACATCAAGAATTGTCTCCATTCTAACCATATGCTCAATTTCGAGCTGGAATTTAGTTGAGCGAAATAAGTCGATGGTTATATCTTCTCGGTATTCAGTGTTATACATGCATGCATTACTGGCAACCGAATTATCGTCTAAGTATGCAGCCTGCATGTGTGTTTATCTGGGCATGTCTCCAAGATGCTAGGGCTGCCTTATTTAAACACCTTTTTTGAAACCTGTATGTAAGACGAATCATCCTTAAAGAAAACCCTGCTGCTCTTTAATCTTCCGCATTTACGGAACTAGCAGACGAGTATATATAAAGGTTAGTTCAATATGAGCACGAACTAAATTTCATTATTCTTGTATATACACTTGTATAAATAGTCATATATATCTTAATATGTTATAGTCGTCTATATTGTACGTCGAATTTAGGGTCATACACATATATAAATGCGCTCATCTTACTGTAGCCTTTATAGATGGTTGTGTTTCTATAACCTCCACGCAGTCGCCATTTTAAGTATTGTATGTAGTTCAAGGAAATTGCATTAACGGTTATATCAACGGTTATACCGGTATACTAGATTTCAGTTTTTGTTTGTAAATAGGAGACATTGCCCTTGTATTATAATGAAGAATTTCGCCGTCTTTCTACTTTATGTGTTGTCTATTTTGCATAGCACATCATTTTGTATGTAGATGTATATCGAAGTCTGTTGCAAGCTGCCATGCATGTCATTTCTTTAATATATTCATTATACCTGTATACGTATACTGAAATATATATAGAACGTTTTCATACATGCATATATAGAACGATAGAATGTTATGTATAGCCTATAAAGCAAATACGTGAGTACCAGAATACAATTTGTCAGTTTTGATAGTCATATGCGAGAGAGATTGCCCAGTGTCCTTGGCCGTTTACCAAAGGACTTAAAGCTATCAGTTTGTTTGTTTTTCGTCAGAACTGTATTGTAATTCCACGGAAACGTTAAGCTTAATTTTGATGGAACAATGCATGACCTTAGTCTTTTGGCTTGACAGAGCCTGATGAAAACGAAGTAAATTGGAACGAAACAGTGTATATTATAAATCGAATTGTATAGATACTCGTAAGTGGGACATACGCACAATAATTGGTTTTGTATTTTGGTGATATGCAAATGTGCACTGGGTTTTCTGCATCTAATCTGAATGTCGAATTAGGGCTGACGTATTTTCATCGCTGAATAGCACCTGCAAAATTTCGTTGTTTTTATTGCATAATGAGGTCAAGGCTATATGCCATGTCTACATGTCGATCTCTCGGAAAGTGGAACCTTTATTGTTTCTGTTGGCTACTTTAATTTGGCGCCGTACAGAACTAAAACCATGATACTTTCATTAAATATTATTTTTACCGTTGACGTTGTATATTTCGAAGCTGCTTTCTTGACGTGATAATTCTTTGTATATAAGGTTTTAAAAGCTGCACATATATTAATATATCGTATCGTATCAGGCTGTTTACGAATACAAATGATAATACTAATAGTGCATTTAGGCATATTCTTGTCAGTTTTGGTTTTCATACGAAAGTATTTAGAATGTTAGGTTTATAAAACATGCATAAAAGTGAATATTTGATATAAATGAAAGTCCATAAGGTGTGATGTTGTTTACGAGTAGCTGCATGATATTATGTGATATCTCTTGTAATATTTAAGCTATCTTGGACAAATGTTGTGTTTGATTACAGAGAAGGACGTTAATTTACGAGGGCATTTCCTTTGCTTTAAATTTTTCGAACAGTTGATGTAGTTTTATATCATGCACTATCAGTATTTTAATCATGCAGGAAAGCATAATTTTTTTCGCTTCATTATTTATCCTTGATTTTTCTGTGTAGAGTAGCTTTGTCCACATCTATTATGTACTACTATCAGATTTTTTTGCAATGGCTGAATAATATGCTCAATCTATCGTGGTAAATTTCTACTGTGAACCACACGTCAATGTAATAATATCCCAGATCAATAACCTCGTCATAATGGTAACAGATACCTGACTAAAAGTCTTCTTAGGCATAGCTGTATGACTTGTGTGCAATTTAGACTTCGTGTATGTAACCTAGTGTAGTATCACGCATTAATATATAATCAATTAGAGGCTAATTCTATCTCATCTCTGCTGATGAGCTCTCTTTGATAATTTTTATATGACCTGACTATGATTTGAACAATGCTCTATTCATTCTAACGCATACTATTGTAAGAAATCTTAATGTATTAACAAAATAACGACAACATGAAAACCACAATTTTGACCAGCAAAATATTTGCAGCAAAATGCATGCAATACACATGCGGGAGATATATCAAAATTGCCAGATTATCTATATGTCTTAGTAGACCTTTAGCTAAAGCAAATTATGCTTGTATAGATTCGTGTCCTTGACATGGAAAAGTGCCTTCTCCATAGTGTTTTGTCTTGTCATATTTATTTTAAAAGTAATGCTGCATGACATGACTACACTTTGGTTCATGTTCATACCCTAATGGTATTGAGTGTGAGTAGGTCGTCTCTATATGTATAATAAGATTTAAAATGAGTCCTTCAGAAACGCAGAAGATAAATTAATAAGAAACTTAAGCTCAGAATGTAAACAATAAATGTCTGCTTCTCTCTAACTTGGCTTATTCATACTCCCACAAGGAAATATTTTTGCCGACATTCGCAGTCATTTCAATCCAAATTGTGACTATAATAACACTATTAAACAAGCAGTATTCTATAAGTCAAATTTCTGCAAGAGGTATAATAAGTCTTGCCAAAAAGAGGTATAATTAAGTCTTGCAAGAGGTATAATAAGTCTTGCAATATATAGAGTTATAATAAGTCTTGCCAAAAAGATTTTGTGGACGTATAGACTAAATAATTTGTTTAGCCTTAATTTTAGTGGAAAATCGTTATACTTTATCCCTGTTCTATACTATAGGGACGGCCATTTTGGATGTCACAATACAGGATATAATAATACAGATGCCCTCAATTTTAATGTAGAAAACACGGACAGTAACAAGTACGTATCCAAAAAAATCCACGCCTATATGCATGCATGCCTCAAACTATGCCTTATTTTCCTCGTAACCTCGGTTTTATCAATTCGAATTACAACAATATTTTAGAGTAGTGTAGCAAGTATTCTTGACATATAGAACGAAAATATTCGTGTGGTACGTAGCTACACTAAAAGCTCATAACTTTTTTTTAAAAATGTCATGTATATTCTTATGGCTATATATTTATTTCTGATCAGAATAGCAACGGCTTGAATTAGAATATTATTGAACACATGCACATCGTTAAATTAAAACCTCATCATTTTATCTGGCCTTTCTCGCTAATAAGCTTCAATTTATGTTGCGTTTTACTCTTGTATACGTAACTTCTTTCGATCGAGCTTTAGATCTCATACAAGGCTCCAGTAAACATTGAATATTTCTGTTACTAAGCTTACCTGAAAATGTAGGTATTTTGTGTGTTGTAGAAGTCTGCTCGAATATAAATTATCTTGGTCGAGCCATTGTGTGTTATTTTCTATGATTCGATACACATCCGGCTGAACTTTTTTAAAGGATCTGTTCATCAAATGTTTCGTTGAAGAGAAGATTGTGTTTATAAAATACCTTTTATATTTATTGGCTGCATTATAGCATTTTCCAGTTCCAAGTCCAATTTTTATCTGCGAGTCAGAAATGAGCAAAACAATTGCGTCATTTAAACGCGATATACTACTATATGTGACGCAGTCAAAAATAAAATCAGGTCGTTTAAAATTAACTTCGTGTAATTCTACGGAAGACTTTAAGACGCACCCGTCTGTTTTCCTGAAACGTCATACGAATATTCCTAAGCATTCACCGAGTGTCAATTTCTAAAAAGATGACTTGTAGGCATTGATCGCCATTGTGAATACGGCGGTTTGAACATGAGGCGCATCCAATTTTCATTTCGTAAATATTTCACTCCATTCGAAAATTTTTGACAAAAGTTCAAGACTGCATGTCCAACGTAACGGTTCTTTAATACATATAGTCTATCTACAACGGAGAGGATCTATAAGAGCTCATAATATAATGTTTATCACTATGAGCATGCAGTTTTGACGAAACACGTTCGACTTAGCGTGACTGTGAACATATTATTCCATCTGTAAGACTTTTTTGTAAACTTATATTTTTCTTGAATTGAAGATATTTACAAGACTAAAATACTATATGATACATTTGAGCTTGTCTATTTCAGTTTATGTACAAAAAATAGTTATAGTAGTCTATCTTGGCCTTAATTTAACTTTATGTGTAGTCTTGACAAGAGGCTGTTATATGACCGGTTTGATTATATGCAGAACATTGATCTTTATACACATTAGCGTTGGACGTTTGATGTTCCTTTCAGAGCCCTCGTAGCAGACTTCTGTTATATACGGTCGACTTTTCCCAAGGAAGCTTATTAGATCCAACATGCATGCTGTCTCGACTGTCTTGTTTTTGGAGCAAAGTTGACAAACGTCGAAAAGCTGCTTTTGTGTACACCCGCGTGTTACAAATAGTTTTGACACGCATTTTGAATTTACGCTGTGTAACTTGTACGTATCACAAGTTTAGGAAAATAATAACCAAACAAAGTTTCAAGAATGTATATTTTCGCGGCTGAAATAGTCCATCAAGGCATCATCACCAGAAGTTGACTGCAGCGAGTGGGCGAGGGTTTTTATATAATGATTAATGTACAGGTCTTTTGGTAGTATTGTTCGTAGCCTCCGGTTTAGGCAAGGCCAAATAGCAAACGAAATGTAACGATAAGAGCATAACGTTTCACATTGTCCCAAACCGTGTCTTGCTCGACTTCCTTTTTTGAAAACTGCTTTGTCAGTTCATCGCCTGCCATCGCAAGCTCGTGGGCTACTAAAAGCACATTTCCATTTTCTGTTCCAGTAATCTGTTGGTGAACTCCATTTTGTAGTGCCCCTTCATCCTTGGTTTGGCGTGATTCTTCGTTCATATTGTACATTAATTTTGGTGTCGAGGTTTTTTCTAAATAGACTTTAAGGTATTTTCGCTGAGTCATTTGAGTTGGGTCTGTTTCCTGTCGGCGCACGACTCTAATTTATGGTACTCATTAGTAATTCACGAGGAAATAATCCAATGATATTAGTACATTTTGGTCACATGATAATGGGGAAAAACCTCACCAAACAACTGAACAACTGGGAAATATCAGAATTTTGGGCATCTCACTCGATATAATTGTTGAAGGGATTTGTTTGGATCCCATATACCGCACATTGGCATCACCTTGGTATTTATACATGAACTAACTTGTGGTTAGAGCTCGACAACTGTCTCTCTGTAGCTCAGTTGGTAACTACATCATATTGCACGGATATTTTGGATACGTGCACCACTATCCTTAAACAGTGTTTTACGGTATTTAAATAACGCACTATTTGGGCGGGTTAGGTAAATATCAGGCTGCTCTGGTTAGGTCTGTAATCAATGTATAAAAATTCCGCTCGAAATTTCCATCTACAAATTGTGTGTACGTATACTGTAACTGGTTCATTATTGTAAGACTCAGCTGGTGCTTCTTTGTCGATTTTTAACAGGAAGATGGTGTCATTGATCGTGTTGTGAAATGGCCACCACATGCATCCATAATCATAAAGAGATCCTTGAAAGAAGCTAAGATCACTGTTGTGGAAGAGAAACTACAAGTTGTTCGCAAGATATAATTGGGAGTAGGCTATTGGTGCCCAGCTGTAGGTTGCGGGTAGGGTATTAGGTGACTCTCTTGTGCTTAAAAACTCGTGTAAGCAGAGTTGTGGTTCGCTATCTCCTGCATGTGATTCGAATTTTCCTTTCCTCATTAACAACTAACCCTATAAGGCTTCTGGATCGGTTACAACACCTTATGTAAACGACATTAAATAAATTATTAAATAAATAAATAAATAAATAAATAATAAATAAATAAAACGATTTAGATCACTTTGTGTTGCAAGTTAAAATGAAGGCAATACATTTAGTTAAAATTCAGTAAAGGAATTTCAGTAAATTTTTTATACATGTATTGTTATTAATAGTTTTGATTTTCAATTTAGAAGCAATGACCTATTATACATAGAGAATATTTTCTAATGTGATATTTCACATTTACAGTGAGTCCATACACAAAACACTATGGCTTAAATTGGCAGTTCAAATTTAACGTCCACAGACACTTGCTTTGCCAGTTCTACGATGTTTGATAAACGCGCTGCCTATATAAAAAGAAAATTTTATCAAATATAGTTCTAAAGAAAAGTCTGTTTGTAATCAGACGTGTATTTAAACCATCCTTTCAGAATCCTTTCTTCTTTTATTCGATTCATAGAAATGTACTAAACAACGTATTTTTATTGATTTTGGGCAAGATAAAAACAATAACAAAACCCATGATACCATGGTGTGACAATAATCCTTTAAACAAAGTGAGCTAGACAAAGTCTTTAATAGCCAGAATTGTTTAATACTTTCGGAAAATTAAAATGTCTTTATTTTATAAAATTTTACAAAATTTGACTAATCTGGTTTTCATATTAAATCACGTAACGATTTTTTAACAAAGCTGTGGAGCATATTCGGGTTGAAGAAGCTAACAAATGCCACAACCTTCCCAAAACTGGCTGTCAAGTCCGTTCTGCTCATGCGCGTGTTTTGTTTACATTTTTTTGTTTCAAACAATAGATAATTTAACTAAAATTCCGATCTAAGGGCCCATAGACACCAATCTCGACACAACGCTTTAGAAATTTTTAAACAATAAGTAAATTAGATGGCATTCCAGTAGTATATAAGATGACAAGAATTCCCTGCAAAATGCAAGAAAATTTCCTGCGAAGACATTTTGTTAAAAATGTCCTGGCAGCGGTGCTGCTGGAGATTTTCCAGTAGTGTCATCAGGTTCAGTAGTGTCATCAGGTCTAGTAGTATGACTTATCACTCTCTGACATTTCGTGAACAAAACCACACGCCAGTTCAAACAATGTTGGACGATGTTGGACCATAGTGAATCTCATTAGAATAACAATATAACTCATTATCTATGTTGGGCAACGTTTATTCATAAATCTGGTCCTTCACCGTCTCGTGTGTATTGTATTTTTGCCAAATCCACCAATAGCAATTTCCAATTACCCTAATGTTCGAGTCACGGATAGGTAACTTTCACAAAACATTGCTATTGGTTAGTTGGGCAAAAATACAATGCACACGTAACGGTGAAGGACCATATTTATGAATAAACGTTGATTAACATAGATGAGTTATATTGTTATTCTAATGAGTTTCACAGCCATCTATAGGCTATGGTTCGACGAACATTTCGAATGAAGTCGAACCTGATCCAATATCTTCCAAAAACAGCCAACATGATCAAACACAATGTCAAACCATAGACCAATTGCGAAACTTAGTGGCCGCGCCTTCATACTGCACGAGAACGAGGCTTATTATGCAAAAACTAAACAATTTCTATATTTTTATATAGCGAAAAGTGAATTTTAGCGTTTTTAAAGTGTTTTTTCCTGAATCTCTTTGATCTTTTCTTAATATTTCGTGCTAGGTTATATAAATATTTGTTAAATTTATCTAAACATCGATTTCCCACTATATTTTTACCCGCTTTGGAGAGATATTTTGTTGTTGTTTTAGCATGCGATGGAACAAACATATGGAAAAGATCAATCTAGACTTTAAAATCTGATCAAGATGCAAATAAAATAGCCAGTATAACTTAACAAACTAAAATATAACTCTTTCTACCCAGATTTGTTTAGACTTGTGCGAGAAAAAAACGATTTTGTCAAAGTGATAATAACATAAAATTTCTACAAATTTCTACAAATTTTGCCCGACATTTACTTTCATATTTTTAAAGTTAAAATTGAAAACTTGCTATTATATTACAACTGAAACAAAATTAATCAATGTTACAACTTATTCTTTGAAATGTAATAATAAAACAGACGGAAAATACCTAATTCTTTCTCTGGTATATAATCTGCTTCTTTTATCGGACGGCGAAAAACAGCAAAACTTTGCCTCGCACGCCGCGAAAAACAATGAAATTTGAAGTAAGACTAAATCTATGAACAAGTTTAATAAAGATTTACATAATCAAAACAGAAATGAAGAGATTGCCATAAAAACGCGTCTCAAACACTGAAATTCACTTTTCGCCATATAAAAATATAGCAGAATGATTTGTTTTTGCATAATAAGCCTCGTTTTCGTGCAGTTTAAGGCGCGGTCACTAAGTTTCGCAATTGGTCTATGGATTGTAAAATAACTGGATAGGAAACTTCCTGACATCATTGACTGCATTCTTGTTGAAAAACGTGACGTCACGCGTATTGCGAATGTTACCAAAGTTCTCGGCATTTTTGTTGTTTTGCTATATTTTCCACTTTAAAAGGGTGATATTGAAGCATAAACTGGTCTAATTGTTTTAAAAACATGCCTAAGCCACGACAAAGTATATCTCGTAGCCACGACAATGTAAAACGAAATTGGCGTCAAAAATATTTAACGAAATTTGCGATGTATTTTTCACTGTTTAGTGCTTGAAATATTTGCTAAAATTGATTGAGAATACTTAGAGTTTTCATCGTAGAATGGCGTGGTTATATTTATTTGCTCTTTGACTAAAATGTTCAGCTGTATTATTGCTAAACATGCCGTTTTTGAGAATTTGGTTTTCAACTAGGTTGAGGCATCCAACCACGCCATCAGCCCATTGAAAACATTAGGTCACGTCAGCTAGTTTCTTATCCATTCATTTTATTATCCATGGTCAAACTGACACAACATATTGCGTCCAACAGTGTAGGATAATGTTGAACTGGTTTGAACGGTCCTTTAAAGGGGCAGTTATTTAACGTTACCATCTTTGCGGCCTCCTCCAAGTTGTCCACAGCCAATATACGGAGATCGCTCGTAGTAAAAATAGCTTTTGCATCTTCGACGCGTGTTCCTGCAAAAATTGACGGCATAGAATTTTTAGGCGTCCACAATATCATTTATTATATAAATGGCACAACTCTAATGTGATGACCAGTATCAGTGTAAACAAATGGGCCACCTCGAAACCCTGTAAGCAAACTTTATTTCGTTCTTGCATCCTGCAATTCCACATGCAGGGCTAACCATCTGGGTTTGTGATTCGTTGGATATTTCAAACAAACTATTATACCCTATATTCACATTCAGGGTTCGTCATATGTCGTAATAAAACGTGTATGTAACAATCGCTTACAATCGGTCGTCCCGGTACTTTTTTAGCACTGTAAGTCAGCACCGAGCATGCGCAAAAGAACGGGTAGTTTCGGTTTCCCATGTGTTGTTTCCAAGCGTTCTCACTTTAAAGAAAACGTACTTAAACTGAGGACATTTGAACCTCTGCAAGGATTTTATTGAGGAAATGAAACTTTTAAGGAATTTCCAAGGAATATGTTTGTGTTTCATTTAAATGGTTATAACTAATTTATTTTGACATTGTATTACAATTTATTGAGCATAAGTTATTTTAATTTCTTTTAAAAATACCGAAACCGAACTGAGTTCCTTCCACCCCAAAAAGACCGAAACCGAGATGAAATTTCTGAAACTGTACAGCTCTAATATAACAACTCTTTATCGCATTGCTTTTCCCTTTCAATTCAGAGCTTGGTGGAAAGAACAAAATTTGGCCAGATTATGTCAAACCATTCAATATCATACAAAAAACGATATTATACTTTGCCAGGCCGTCGATATTTATTGAAAATTTGAATGAAATTTGGCATGGCATTACGTACTGTACCTTGCAGTCTGACCACTATAGGAATGTCCAGGTCAAGTTGACTTGCTGCTGCCACTATACCTTCAGCGATTACATCACATCTCATTATTCCTCCAAATATATTAACAAGAATTGCATGCACCTGTAAATACAGTACAGTTCATAAAACTGTCAATCAATAATTTATTAAGTTTACTTCTCAACAATGTAATACTTTATTATGTAAATAGTTTTCACTTTTCCCTCTCTTTTCTCTTACTTATAATACTGATATAAAATAAACTTGGTTAATTGTAAATAGAAACAACTAATTACATTCATGTAACTAGGGTCTTAAATAAACGCCTGTTAAGGTTTCTGGTAGGGCACTAGCCATATGATTAATTAAGTATTCAAAATGTAAATAAAAATGTTACAATTACTTGGGGATTGGGCTCATTAACTATACTGAAGTCAGAAACGCAATACTGAAACCTTTCGGGCCATTTAAATGTCCGGCAGCAAAATTAGGCATTTCCTTCATATTAACGTACATTTGAATCAGCACTGATTAATTTGAAAGCTTCCGCAACTTGTTTAGCAGTCGCTCCTCCACCGACATCCAAAAAGTTTGCAGGTTCAGCTCCGTGTAGTTTGATAATATCCATGGTTGCCATTGCAAGGCCAGCACCATTCACTGTAACGTGGACATAAAACGTAAATAGGCAAATGTAGAATGTAAAAAGACGTACACTGGTTACTTTGGCAATAGCAGTACACACTGTCAGTATGTATACCGTAGAGAACGACGTTTTTATGGGAAAGGTTAGTTCGCCGACATCAGAATGACATTTCGTCAAAGGGTTAGGGTTAGAGTTGGTGTTTGGAATAGGGTTAGTGTTAGTGTTAGCAAAACCGTTGCTTTGTTACGTTTTGTCACTCCGAGGCCAGCGAAATAACCTCTTCCTTTTTTTATTCACGAACGCCGACTGGAAGTAAATTGAGCCGTTGTAGATGGTACAGTGCTTCGTACAGTACCACCTTAGTTGTTGAAAATATTAGTTTTGAAAGAATATAATCCCACAAAGTATTAGGTTTAACGATCCAGAATAATCTGAAGTGGGATTTGCACATCAGTGAGATAGTAGCCAAAGCATCAAAGAGATTACACATCTTACGAGTTCTCAAGCGCAGTGGAGTTTCATCGTTTCATTTGCTACCTCAGTATATTTTGCACTTATTAGATCCCTACTCGAGTACTGCTGTCCGGTATGGCATTCATCAATGACCATCAACTTGTCAGATAAAATTTAACGGGTCCAGAAGCGCACAATTCGAATAATCTATCCCACATTAAACTATGACGCAGCTCTAGACCAAGCCAAATGTTCGACATTACGCGCAAGACGTGATGCTTTTTGTACGTACAAACACTTTTGACAAAATGAGACAGCCTTAATCATTTAATACCACCGTCTCGGGCCAATGAACACAGTTGATAATTCGCCTTATTACGTTTTCGTAGCGCTTTAAATTGTGGTTATAGTGGTATCACTGATAAAGATAGTGGCCACGAATGAAAATATTGAATGTTTTCGCGAATATTTTGCTGTTGGCTATCGCGCACCTGACCCTAGCTTTTTTTTAAATTCTTGCACGGGTCAGGACAAAAAATAAGCCATCTTGAATATAGGTGATGCCACTATAACCACAATGCAAAGCGCTACGAAAACGTAATAAGGGGAATCTAGTATTGCAATTTAAGGTATACGGAAATAGACTAACACTGTTTCCTTGTAAGACGGAACTATTTCCATAGCATGGAAATTGCAATTAGTATGAAAATTGGATTTCCATACTACATTTCCAACGAAGATCCATACTACTTCCATGCAAAGATTTTGAAAAAAATTTCCAGACGTGAGTGTATTTATTTTCCCTTATATTATACATATACCCACCTAGACAGCCTATACTTCCATCTAAGCCAATATAATTGAGATTATATGCTGCAGCTTCTACTTCTCTTTCATCCTCCTGAGTCCAGTCTCGTTGTTGAAATAAATCGTCTTGACGGAATGCAGCGTTGTCGTCAAAATTAAGTTTGGCATCCATACACACAACTGTATAAATTGGGATCCAAAAGCAAATAAGCTGGTGATTGTAAATTAAAGTTTTACGTTTCTAATTAGTTGTTTTCACATCGATGACAGCTGAATAGGTATATATCTGTAAAGTTCGTCATATGTCGATTGGATATCTCTCGTAGATGGTAAATATTTTTTGTCTCTGACACAGTGGCCACACTCGGGTATCTCAATAGCCCAGCGACTTCATGCTCAATTATTCTCCAACATAGTTACAGTAATTCGAAAGAAAAATGACAACTACTTGCGCTAATAAGAATTACAAAACATCGTATTCACGAAGGTATGCATAGACGGATTTTCATAATTTTTACTGGGGTGGTGCCAGAAATTTTAGGGGGGTGAGCCGTGAGCAGGTGACTGAAGAAACAAAGTGTCACCAAACCCCAGTAAGGTCTATATTCTAGGGGTGGAGCACTAGAGCCACGAGGGGGAGTCTAGAGAGCAGAAAACAAAGTATCCCAGGAAAAATTTGAAAAAAATCATGATTTCTAGCTTAGAAAAAAAGTTTTTTGGAGTTGTCATATCAATGGATTTGGCATGTCCGATTGTCTATTGAGACTTGAGAGAGTTAAAGTTAAATGAACCTGTAAAAGTGTAAACCCAATAGGCCAATACACATTATGCTCTTACTTTTATAAAGTCATTGACATTGTTTCGTTTGAATCCGAGTACAATTTATGATGCAACTCCGATGTAAATAATATTTGGGGTGTTAAGATTAAATCTCGGCAAGTCTATTTCCTAAAAGAATTAAAAACTAAAAATAATCTTCGTAAAAATTCCAAACGTTCCTTGCAAACAAGCTATTTGCATGACAAAACTTTACAATTGCTCCAATATACCAGTGAATGCAAGCGAGGAGCGATTAGTTTCAAAGTATTGCACTGTCTTTTTCTATTTGAGTGTACTCCTACGTTTATGTTGTATCATCAACACTCTGCACGTTGGAGTGGACTATTTAATTAT